GAATTGTTTGCTTTACTTTTTTTATTTACTGTTCTATGTTTTAGAGAAAATAACTTTAAGAACTTGTTTCAAAATAGCAAAAAGCTATATACATATATAATGTATAATAATTGAAATGTGACTGTATTTTACAAAATACTAGTTGACTAAAACACAGCCAAGACAAGTTACTTTGTACAGACCAAAGGTCAGTTTTATGTTATTGGTAAGATAACATGACTGCACATGTGCCGCATCATTGTAATTTCTGTATTGTTAGCCAGGCACAGCTGAAAGGTCAATATAATAAAATTAATAAACATATATAAATGTATAATGTTATGAGATTTAAGCTACTTAGTCTAAATATTTATGTTTTCATATTATAATTTGTTGTCATTCTAGAATGAAAGAGGCATAATTTATTTTCATTTCTTAATTTTTTATGTTGGTTACGAGATCGATCCAATCTACCAAACCCGTACAGAGATTCCTTACTGAAAATAACAGATAAAATATAGTTTTTTTAAGAAACATTTGACAACTATCTGGACATTATAAAGATTTCACATGTGAAATTTGTAATGTTTACTGATAATCTGCCAAACTTCGTTAACATACGCTTACTAATTTAAAAGTTATAGCATGAAAACTATAACAAGCACAAAATGGTTACGAGGTCAATCCCAGGGATCGAGCCCGTACTGAAAGTGTTAAATTGAAAAACATCAATAATAATAATAATAATAATACATTGTAACGCCATCTATTGGGTTTTCCCCTGAAGAAGAAAGGTCCACCTTTTGAAAGAGCTCGGGTTATAGGGTTTTTATTCATTTCTATTGGGTTGAAAATATACTTAAGTTGTGTTTGACACAGATGTTCATAGGTAACATGATATGATCCCCAATTTTATCTAAAAATGATGATTTAATGATTAAAAAAGTTATAAAAAAATCTCAAATTGACTAAGATTTAGCTACAAAAGTTCTACTTGAGATTAACCATTGAGCCAATTTGAACAATACCAACAGAGCGAGTGTTAAAAACAGAGAGTGGAGCTTTTATATATATATATATATATATATACTAATAAAACTTTACTAACAAGGCACTTAAAAACTAGTTGTTTCCTTCATGTGCCGTCACTGATTCGCTAACAAACCATTATCAATCCAGTACAGCATGATATAACTGAATAACTTACCAGCAACTTATGCACATATGTCACCATGAAACTTTAAATACTATAATTGAATGTACTAAATGTTTCTTCACAATATTTGTCAAGCTTTTAGTAAAACTTAAAAGTCTGTTTTTCACAAAAAAATAATTTTTAGTAAAATTAAGCTTTCTAACACATTAAATAACTTTCATTACTGCATGAAGCACCAACTTCATTCAACACAACAGTTTCTTGGGAACTGCCGTCACTGACTAATAACACTAAACAAATGTGTAAGGGGACTGTATGTTTAAATTTTCTCTTTGTGTTACTTATAAACATGTCCAACAAATAAGGATAAGTGGTTTCAATAATTCGTTAAAAGCTATGATAGATGGGAAGAGCCTCACTTGTGGGTTGGATAAATTTATTGTTCATCTCAGCAAACCGATAATACAGAGGTTCAAATTTTATATTCTGACCTTCAGTTCCTATAGTTTGTGTTTCTAATTCGTTGGACACTGAAACCATATAAATGAATCAAGAAAATCTACAAAGGAGAAAACAGGCAAGACAAGTCACGTGACACAGAGAAATGAAGAATCCTATTTAAATATTTTCTTTTAAAGTTAAGAAGATAAAACTTGGATAATATAAAAATTTGATTTATAAACTGTATTTTGAGGCTAAGCTTATTGACATTCATTTATAATTAAGTTGTTTGATTACATTTTGAATGCAACTCTATATAAAAGATAATGACATGTGCACTCTGATCCAACCACATGCAGTGTTAAGAACTGTGTTGGTTATGACAAATTAATATACACTGCTTAATACCAGACACCTGTTTTTGTTTATAAAGCCAACTTGTTTAAGTAAATATCATACCATGCATTTATTACCACCAGACAATTTGCTTTGCTTACCAAAAAACAAATTACAAATGCTTTGTTTGGTATCAAAATATAACATTATCTTTTGCTTACTATCTTATTTTGTATTTTGCAAATTAATACCAAACATTTTAAAATATAAAAACTTATTCGTTATTATCATTTTGTTTATTATTATATGATTTTGCTTACTCACTATCAGCTGGTTTGAATACCATTAACTTAAGTTACTACATTATCAATGCAACAAGATAAAAGCATATGAAATTATTTATATTTAACACACGACTATGTACTTTGATAATTACAATAAAAATTCAGTTTCGTTATCATATTAACCATAATAATATGGAATTGCAAAATACTTTTGTATAAAGAAAAATTTTACTTAAATAGTTTGTATCCAGTTTAAAGACTTCTAATGGAACGAGTAATACCAAATCAATAAACAGTCATAACTATCTTTCACTATAACCTAAAAATATATGGATAAAATCTAACTTACACTTTGAAATACTGGGGGTCTTGGGAGTAGTAGAAGCTTTCTTCTTTACCTCAGTCACTGGTTTTCCTAAAAATAATCACAGCTAGATATAATTAGTCATGTATTAAGGCAAATCCAAGTCCTTAAAATTAAACTACGATATTCACATCATAGTTAATTAAGTCTATTTAATGTGCTTCTTTTTGATTTAATTTATTTAGTTAACAAACTGCTGTATTTACTGAAAAAAGAAGGCCACAAGTAAAGAGCTACATGTAAGAATAATAATAACAGTAATGGTTTTGGTTTGAAACAATAGAATTAATAAAATTATGCAATTTCTTATATGTACTTCTCAAAAGAAGACTAAATTTCTAAATGTTGTCATACATGGAATAATGAAAACTACTATTGGCAAAACCTCTCCTCTCAATCAACTACCCACATTCCACTTTGCTGTCTTGTTTTTTCCTATATGTTTATGTTTGACATAACTGACAAACTTTCTAAACATATTGACACCCATCTCATTAAAATATCTAACTAAATGACACAGAAAGATAAGTTTTTCAATGCCAATGGATATTATTAAATTGAATAGGTTTTTCTATTTGCATTTTCTGGTAGAAATAAGAACAAATCTTAATTCAAATGTCACATGAGTTTTCAGTGAAAAAAATATGATGTTAACCTCAGAAACATTAGTAAAAGTCATATGAACAATCACAATAAAGAATAAACATTCCAATGGAAAAACATAGAAAGCAGATCTATCCTGTGTATTAATATCAAGAAAAAGATTCTATTTCTTGAAACACTTTAGGAAGCCTCACCTCCAATAATAGTTCTCGACTCCCCAGCATTCATACCACCCATAGCCCTATGCAGTATAAATAATATATATATATATATATATATATATAGATATATGTCAAGAAATGAATCAACACTACTAAATAAAATGTTAAATTATTACAGTTATTTTATGTTAAGTCAAATTATGTAGCATATTAACATTAAATAGTAAATTTACTCTTGGTCACACAAAAAGTACATGGTACTTTGATACTAACAATAAAATTTGTGAAACTGAATACTTTTGTACATATTCTCCATTAAAATATTTCAATAGTTACTATTTATGAGCTAATATTTTTCTGAAATACTTTTTACATATTACTTTTAGCTGATGTCCATGAATAACTCAAAACAATATATTTCACTGATATACCATTCACTTTGGCTGGCAAAGTTATAATGTTAATATCCAAAATAAAAACATACACAATGCAAAGAAGTGACTGATAAATCTTAAAAGACTAGCGTATAGCCCAACATTTTGATGGGGCAAGTACTACCACCCCTATCCCATAGTATACCCTAACCTCACATTTCGTAGCTAACCAAAAAAGAGGCAGAAAAGTGTAGTCGAGGCAGTCAAACGTCAGTAAATTTCTTTTCAGGAAATGAATTCATGGTGTATTCATAAAATAATTATTGGTAAAAATCAGTTAGATTAACAACTTCTAATATATAAAACAATCAGTGCATTTTGGTAACACTACATTTTAACAATGGCTTTTATGTCATGTTGCTTAGCAAAAAAAGTATAACCTAATATTGTTGTTAGTCTATGTGCTGAAAGTATAAAATGCAATGCATAAACAACAAAATTAGAAAAATATTTGCTGATTTCTTAATTTAGAGTCTCCATTGGTTAAAGAGGTTTGTTTTTTATTGAAAATGTTGATGATATAACAGAAAATAGCTTAATTCGGGAACGAATCAATATTTTTACTTTCATGATAAACTTTATACACTTGGCTCATCACTAAAATCATAATGGGCAAACAGTAGTCGAACTATTCTATTTGAATAAATGAATTTTGGTTTTTATGACTACTAATATTCTGAGAAATCAAGTGTGACGTGACACACACACTAGCTTTTATATAGGTTAGATTTTTGTGAAGTGCAAATTTAATTACATTATAAACTCTTTCACAACACTAACTACTGACAGTGATGATATGAAGGTAAAGCAGTTGCTCACATTTTTTCCATGGCCATCCCTCCTCCTCCTCTTATTCCTTGCCCACTGGACATTCCAGGATGATGCCCAGCTCGAATCGGCTTAGCTATTAAGGATATAAAATAAAATTACATTCTTTTAGGCAGAGTTTGAGCAGCAAATAACCTATACAAAATAATTAGAATGTTACTGCTTACTCTCATATTGTAACAAATATAAGTATGCAGTAGCATTTAGAAAAACAAAGCAAAAATGGATAGCCATATGTATATATAACACTAGCCCAGCAATGTATTTCCGCACTAGAACATTGCTGTACCATTAACAAACAAAGCAAATTAACTGGGATTTTTCTGATTCTCTAACATTTTCATTAAAACATACTATTCTAATATAAATTACAAGACTGCTAGATAAATACACAGGACTGTACAGCCCAGACAAGCACTAAATAAATAATGGCTACTACTAATCTTCCTGCTAAATATACTACAGTAAAAGACTTGATGTTAAATAAAGTATTAAACTTCTCTCCTTAAGTTATTTGTTACTTTTGTAATATAAATCTCAAACATAAAAGTTAAACCTAACTTAAGTAAGTACATTAGGGCAGACTGAGGCTCATATTTTATACTTCTCAGTCATTATACATCAAAGTCAAGTCTCTAAGATACTTAACTAGGTTTAAGATGATTCATTAAAACAAAAAGCATTAGTAGCTGCTAAAAATAAAGGAAGTAGTCTTTGTAATTCGTTAGAAATTTGATTTTTAACCAATTTTTAAAATCCCTAGATGTACAGGAAGTAAAAAAAAAGAAAAAGAAATACTGTTTATCCCAGGACCAGACCTATTTTTTTGAGATGTCATATAAACATGAAAACACTATCTGGTAAAAAAAATAAATTTTGTAGCAATCCTTTAAGGCAGCACACAGGTAACTGAGCACAAAACAATCGTGCCAAATTAATTGTGCAAATATATCAACAAAATCTAAGTGTGAAGTGGTTGATGAACTTAGACATATAGGAAAATTGAGATTCATTTATATCAAAAATAATTCCTTCCATGTTAGTGTAATCTGAAAAGTTTAAAACAATTTACTACTAAGTTTTTAATTTATAATGAATTAAACTTACATCCTAAAACTAGGGCATTGACACTTAGAGGGTTAAAATGATATTTCTCCAGTTATTCTACTACACCATGATACAGAAGTTGAGTATCACCTTTATTTTTTCAAAGTAAAGTTTGTCTTTCACTAGCTGTCTCTTTCTTGTTAACAATATTTGAAACAACATTAACCTTGTAAGAAGGTGTGGAAGTGATCCTGTTGTGACATTGTGTCATGATATTACTGGTACACATTTTAAACAGATGTTAGGGAAAAACTGAGAAAAATTATGGTGGTGCATTACTTTTGTATCATCCTATGTTACTGACTAAAATATGAAACAGCCAGAGAAGTTAACATTTTCTTATACAGAAAATGTGTTTCCAATAGGTACTTACCTCTCTCACAAAGCTATCTTGATGATTGCCCTCTATGCATTGTTTAAAATATTTTGGTTGCCAGCACACCAGTCTTTATACCCCATCAGTTTTGCACCACTTCTAAATATGTATATATTATGTGACTTCTCTCCACTAATACTACTGCACCAACTACACTGGTGCAGTTAGCTTCCTCTTCTATTCCCACTCAATCCTCACTATCAACAATTGGCAGGTATTAACAAAAAGCACTGGCAGTGGAGAAGAAGGGTGGGAAGTACCTATCAGAAATACATTTTCAGTGTAAGAAAATGTTAACTTCTGAAACATTGATTCTACTCACACAAAGCTAGAATCTTATACTGCAAAGGTGGAGGGACTAGTATAGGCATACAAATATCAAACCCAACTGGAAAGCAACCACTGACAATGAACAGGTGTGCTACAAGATGAAAATGAAGCACACCAGTGGGGTACTGCACTATTTCTGGAACAGGTATGCTCTTTGCCCAGAAAACAGGAAATTAACACAAAATGGGCAGAATTGGGAAGAAGAAGAACAAACAGGCACAAGTGAATGCAGTAATAATACTTACAGCCCTGGACAAGTGATGGTAGTGTTGGAGGTGCTGAAGAACAATTATACCGTTTTTCACAGGATTGTGCCTGATACTGCACTAGTGTGAAAAACAGAATAACAACATGCGGCTAGGGCATGAGGACTGTGTGATCTATACATGAAGACATTAATTAAGGAAATTGTCTAGAGTGGTCTACCCAGGCTAAAACATCCAGGGGAAACTCTAGTAGGGTCCTTCAATTATATCAATTGATGAAGTTATATTGTCTTGTGAGGTCCAGTGGGGGGGGGTCCACACTGAAGACTGAGAAATGGCCGCAATTCCTTATTTTGAAAAGCAGATTGATTCCGATACATGCAATCAAAGGGTCAGCAAAAATCCCCTACTGCTTTACTCATGAGTGATGGTCCGTCATACATTGAAATTGATTGATGTCTAGTAGATGTATATATATATATACATACACCACTGGGTAAGTGGCCAGTGTCTGACAGAAACACCACATCTCAACAATGAGCATTACAGAGTTACTCTAAACTAGTGTAGGTCTGAGGTAAAGCATACCTAACCAGGCAACACCTGTCACAAGGTGGGATCCATAAAGATGTTATGATTAGGGAAGCTAAAAAGAAAACATAAAAGAAAGGAAGTGATAAGATTTACACCAGTCAAAGGCAAATGGATGTGTGTAGAATCTCCACAGGAGGAAGACTATATCCGTCAGAAGAAGAAACAGCCAGGTCGTGCAGATAATATGCATCAAAGGTATTGGGGGTAGTCCACATTCCAGTCTAAATTATCTCCTCCAAAGGACAGTGAAGGTGAGCAGCCAAAAGACATAGTAATATGACAAATTTGATGTAAATAGACATTGCAGAGACAGTGACCTTCCATGGATAAGTCCGAATACGCCAGTCTTACGACTTGGTGAACCCAGTCAGTGAGAGTAACAGGTGACAGATCATGGGAAACAGAAAGGTTCCAGGGTATAGACAGTTGGGAACAAGAACTTCGAAAGGAGGCAGTATGAAACACATAACAATTCAAAGAACAAATCAGACAGAGTAGCCTATCTGAATCGGAGCAGAATTACAGTTTGAAATTTGGAGGTAAGGAATGGGTGAGAAAGCCAAACCAATGTTCCAGGCAGCATAGGTCTTGAGGAGAAAGGGCCTTTCAGGGTTGAGGATAATCCAGCCACTGAAAGTAACATGGAAAACAGAAGGTTTACAGGGTATAAACAGTTTGGAATGCAAAATTTGAAAGGTGGCAGTATAAGACAAATAACACCTCAAGTAGCAAATCAGACAGAGAAGCCCATCCGAATCAGAGCGGGATTACAGTTCGAAATTTGAAGCTAAGGAATGGGAGAGAAAGCCAAACCACCTTTCAAGATAACATAGGTCTTGAGGAGAAAGGACCTTTCAGGGTAGAGGAAAACATAAGAGCAATGATAAAGGATGTTGGAAACATTAATGGCATAAATATCCAGATGGCGATGATCACAGGCAAGGAGGAGGAGAAAACATGTCTTAAGGGAAAGATGGTACAAGGAAAATGTAGCAAGAAGTTCAAAGGAAGAAAAAGAAAGGGCATATAGGACCACATTAAGATCCCAATCTGGTAAAACAAAAGAACGTAGAGAATGAACAATATGAAAGGAATGGAAAAGAAGGGAATTAACAGGGGAGTAAAAAACCTTATAGAACCAAGAGAAATAGAAGGTGTTTGACAGTGCAACCTGATAACTAGATACAGTCGAAACCATTGTCAAACAACCAGGTGAAGAATTGGGAAAGCTGAGGGACTGAAGGACAGAAGCCACAGCAAAAAGACCAAAGTCGGAAGGTAGATCAACACCTTTGGTAAACAGTCAAGGATGAAGGTCTGATGGTTCGGGAAAGGAAAGACATGACTTGAGGAGTCAGGCCCTGGGCTGAGGCAATGGACCTGACAAAAGCCAAGTGCGAAGACAGAGTTTGGTGACGTTGGGATAACAACATCCGATCGAGGTTGACGGAGGAGTGACCGAGACAGGAGATGTTGCACAATTAAAGGCCAAAGCAGGGAGAACCATGGTTTAGCAGGCCAATATGAAGCAACAAGGAGGATTAGAGAAAGAGTGATCTGGTTGAGGAATAGAACTCTGGATAGGAGTTGGATCAGAGGGTAAGCATAAAAGTGAAGTCCCCTCCAATCCTGACTTAATGCATCTACTTCCAGAGCTGATAGGTGTGGGATGAGAGACCAAAAGGAAGGAAGTTTGGTGTTTCAGCGAATGGTAAAGGCATGGATATGAAGTGTTCTCGTTTGAGAACACACTCACCAAAAGACTTGTGGATGGAGGGACCACTCCATGGAGAGAACCTGGTTGAGACGAGATAAATGATTGGTAACAAGATTCACACCGCCAGGAACATGACAAGCTAAGACCACCATTTGGTGATCGTGAGTCGTGGGCCCAGAAAAGAAGATCCAGAATCTGAAAACACAGAGACCTGGATTTGGTTCCACCTTGCTTCGTGATATAACTTATGAAAGTGAAGATGTCTGTGTACCATAATCACCACCCCTTCAGTAGTGGACGAAAATGGGTCAAAATCCAACATACTGCTTAGAGCTCAAGAATGTTTATATCGAGGGCAGACTCTTCGAACAACCACAGACCAGAAATCTCTTGTGAGTTGAGGAAAGCCCCCAACCAACCAAAGATGCATCTGTGAACAGATATAACTCTGGATGAAGTAGAGGAATGGCAACCCCACTGTGGTCTGGTTCCTGTCAAACCACCATGAAAGGTCGGCCCTGATCGTGGAAAGAATTTTACCAGGATTGTCCAAGAGATCGAGGGAGAAGTTCCACTGAAGTTAACACATGTGAGAGATTCCAGGGGAGCCCACAACCCCAAAAGAGATAGAACCTCTTGTTGTGCCGTGAGAGAATGAGAGGTAAGAGTCCATATCCCTCTTTCCATATCCCTGAGAAGAAGACTGGACCCAACTGAGATGTGAATTGAAGAAAACCCACAAATGAACCAGGAATTTTGTGTGTGTGGGGGGGGAGATAGACTTCTCCAGCATTATCAGAAAACCTACTCATGCTGCTTTCTGGAGAAGTAAATGTGTGTGATCGTCTGACTGAGCGCGTGAAGAGGTGAGCAGGAGCCAGTCATCCATGTAATAGTGAATTTCAAAACTCAGCAAGTGAAGGTGATGAGCAAACGTGCGAACCACTTGAAGAAGCACATACAGAGCCGAAGAGAGATCGATTGGCAGTGCCCTGAACTGGAACAAACGACCCTCATGGACGAACCAAAGAAAATGATATAACTCTGGAGTATTCAGAATGTGAAGATAGGTATCCATCACATTGAATTTGGTCATCCAGTGTCCAAGGGAAACACCCACCAATGTGAAGCAGGGGGGGTACAGAAAGGAATTCAACTAGGACAGGTCTAAGATTGGTCTCTAATTGCCCATCTTGGGGACAACAAAGAGGCAGGAATAAAACCCCGGTTGAGTGGGTAAGGCAACACCCTCCTGATAGCTCCTTTGTGGAGGAACTCTTCTTGAACGACTTTGGAAAGATGACTAAGAAAGGAAGATCCAGAGTAGGGGGAAAAGTAAATTGGGGAAAGGGGTGGGGGACTGAAACCAAAAGCAGAAACTATCCAACAGAAGCTGTAGAACCAACGGATCTGTTGTGAAGTGCCACCACATGGCCAAAAAGTGGAGCAATCTGGCCCCACTGGATAAAAAACCTCTGTCATATCACTGATAATACTGGCTTCTGGCTGAATGGATGCGGAAAGAACAAGGATAAGCACTGGAATGCCTAAAGAAAAGTAAAGGTTGGGGTGTGGAAGCAGGATGACATGAAACCAGGACAGGAGAATCCTGGAAGGGAACAGGAGAAAGAAACAAATATGGCCAAGGAGGATAAGGAAGAATGTAACCTAACCACATCAATTCAGTATTGCAAGGAATCTAAATGACCTCCAGATATGGTTTCACATAGAAATGGGACCTGACGGATATCCCGCAGGGAGGAAAGGGGAAGATGCACCCCCTCAAGTAATGTATCCCTACCAAACAAATCCCAACAACACAACAGCCAGGTATTGAGAGAAAAAGTGGAGGTCAATAAATGAGCCATAGTAGCCCACAGTAGGGTCCGGAGATCATCTGAAAATGCTTCAGACATTAATTAGAGGGAGGGGACATAATGTAAAAGGGAGATCGGTGCAGGATAAATCCTGGAAAACTGAGCTTGATTAAATTGGATTGAAATCCCAGGATTCGAGCACCACAGGGGAAGAACAGGATCCAAACATTGAGAATCCAAGAGAGGATCCACGGTTTGATGGTAAGCAAAAGCATATTGATACAACGAACAAGGACAGGGCATGGCTACACCCAACTGTAGTTGGTCAGAAAATCTCTGCTAAAGAACACTTATGTTGGGTGAAGGGGAAAAATATGATAATCTGAAGATGGATTTTCACGCAATCAGGAAGGTAAGAATCCTAAGCAATAGGGGAAATACTCAAAATGTGACAAACCTGATTAACCAGTTGCATGAAAAGAGTGGAAGGTGATATCTCCCAACTGGATGTAGAATGTGATGGAGCAAACAAGGAAGGTGCCAGAAAATTTATATTTATCTGGGTGGTAGTATTCTTCAGAAACAGGTTCAGGTGGAAAAGGAGTAAAATTCATTGCCTGAACTAACTGCCTGCATACCAAGGCTTGTACTACCTCAGCAGATGAGGTCGATCCCGCATCCTGAAAAGTCATGCCATGTGTGTCATCTCTTGTCGCGAGGATTTCAGAGTCAATCACATTAAACCCCAAATTCCTAATCAGAATGTGTAAACTAAGAAACGAGAAATTATTTGAATACTAAACTGTGTAAACCACTGAAAACAAAGGAAAATCAAACATGAAAATTGTAAACTGGTGAATAAACTTCATCAGAAATGGCAACAAGTCACAAGCAAAATTTTTAATCACACTTGGAAAGTTTAAACACACATCTAAAGTAAGTCATGCCAATTGAGAAAGTGTGGATTGAGTGGTAATAGCAGAGGGAGCTAGCTGCATCAGTATAGATGGCACAATACTATTGGGGGAAGAGTAGTCAAATGATATATACATGTTCAGTAATGGTGTGAAACTGATGAGGTATAAAGACTGGTGTGCTGGTAGCCAAATTTTTTAAACAATTATAGAAGGTAAACAAGGATCAACATAGCTTTGTGAGAGATAAGTACATGTTGGAAATACATTTTCTGTACAAGAAAATGTTGACTTCTCTGGCTGTTTCATATTTTAGTCAGTAACATAGGATGATACAAAAGCATGCACCACCATAATTGTTCTGTTTTCCCTAACAGCTGTTTAAAATGTGTACCAGTAATATCATGACACAATGTCACAACAGGATCACTTCCACACCTTCTTACAAGGTTAATGTTGTTTCAAATATTGTTAAAAAGAAAAAGAGACAGCCAGAATACAACAAACTTCACTTAGAAAAAATAAAGGTGATACTCAACTTCTGTGTAATACTGTAGAAGAATAAGAGTAGTAGAGGTAAGAGCACTTTGGGACTTAGTGTATGTTGGAAGTGTCTCTCTAGTAGATCAGTTTCCAGCACACAATGATAAGATGGGAAATAAAAATGTTCAAAATACATACAAACTTTACTTGAAACAATCACTTTTATGAAGTGGCTGAGTGACATTTTAAAAAGTAGAAATAGCACATTTCAATGATTGAAGATATGCTGCAATGGCATGTACCTTTACGACACAAATTAAATATAAGATTACAAAAATAAAATCATTACAACATAACTTTAAGAAGAAGAATATCATAACACATTTTTTAGCAATTTTTAATTCAATAAAATTATAAGATAAATCAAATCCATAAAGTTTAAATGTGTTAAGGGCTAATAATAAAATAATTTTCTTCATTAAAAACTCACCAATTTGAGCGACATGTCCTCTTTTGGCAAAATGTTTCTGTCTCACTGCCTCTTTGATTCTATCTACTTCACTTATATATCTGGAAACAAACAGATTAAAGGTTTAATGACATACTAATTATTAAGTGTTGCATATGCTCAATGTCAGGAAAAATGACAAATTCCTAATAAGCATGGATACTTTCTTCTTTTACATTCAATCTACTTCACATTAATTTTCAAATATCTTTTGATCATTTTTTAATCAATTTTTAATGTTAGTCAACAAACGAGATGATATGGCTTTTCACCTATGACCCATCTCGAAAGGGTTAAGGAGAGGCCAGCAGTTAAAGTTCAACAATAAAACATTAGTGGCTTGAATAAAATGCATGTCAGTGTACAGGTTACTGTCAATCACAGATAATGCTTTTCATTGTAGTTTAATTTAGAGATAGGCTTGTTATGTTAATTGAGAATAATGGAGAACATATTGAAGGGTTTCTGCAATGAAACCAAAATACCTCTTTCTGTCTTTCATAGCACTCTCCTTAGCATCTTTCAGTGCTGTCTCCAGACACTTGACCCTCTCCATGGTCGCACGCAACCGTTTCTCCAATTTAGGTAGTTCACATCGCAGATCAGCATTATCACGGACAAGCTACACAGAGATATTCATACCAAAATTAGCACTCATAATTTTTTATTACACATTATAGACAATCATGGTCTCATTAACATAAAATATTCATTAAATGACTTATACTTGAATTTGCAGTGTCTAATATTTAAAAAACTGTTTCTATACAATTAACAACAAAAACATTTATATAAATGTTGTAACTTCAAATTATAAAATAATAGAATGATTTTATGCATTTTATTAATAAGTTTTTGTAAAGACTGAATCTGACGATTCATAATAATATTAATTTATCTTGTCATACACTTATCACATCAGGGCTTATTTTACTGTTCCTACAGGAGTACAATGATACAAAAGAATTTCATGTTGATAAAAAAATCTATAAGATCCCATTGAATTTCACTGTTTTATTCTTTCTTAACTTTGATGCAAGAGAATAAAACACAGTCTTGTGAATTTTATTGTTGCATTGTACGAAACTTATTTCAACTGTGTCATTTTTTTTCAAAAACCTTTCATGAACTTTACTGTACTGCTAGACCTTTCTCCTTTCTTTGTTGTAGTTTCCTTATTGAACAAAAAAAAAACACGAAAAACTGTTATTGAATGTGAAACATAAAATAAAACACCTTTTATTTCATAAAGTGTCAACAAATTTTGTAGCTATAAATTGTATTTTTAATATAATAGTAGTCTAGAAATGCTGTTTTTATATCTGAAAGAAAATACCATCATGAAGGACATGTTTGATTGCATATAACAAAAAATGTAATTTCACTCTAGACTGGACAAAAAATGGCAAAAACATCCTGCACAGTAATGTTAATGGCATTTTAGGGTGAAAGGTGATAACTTGACTTTTCTGGTCAATTTTGGGGTGCCGAATTAAAAAATTAATATTACCAAGTCATCAAATGGACATTAAATTGTTATATTTGTATCTGTCATGTAACATTTGTTGACAATATAACCATGCATGGGGACAAGCTGAAGCGTAAAGTTTGTAGATGTCAATTATTCTATGTCCACATAGCAGCATTGTGTTACATTTTGTACTTATAAAGCATCATAAATATAGCTTTTTTAATGACTCTAAAAGTACTTGTTTCATTTCTAACTTCATCAAAGATGGAAAACCTTTATATTAGTGGTATTGTTAGTCTAGATATGTTAAATGATAGTTTAATTAACCTGTAACAGTAATCAATGTTGTATATATGGTATATAAGAAACAGATCGGGGTAGTATTTGCAAATAATGAAAAGTACATGTTGAAGAGCATGGGCTTAAGATACAATCCTGTTTCACTGTGTTTTTGATGTCTAAGGCATAAGTCTTTGTTTTCATTCATTTCATATCTTCATGTAAAGAGAAAAGATGTTTAACAGT